TTTTTTTTTTTTTTTTTTTTTTTTTGCCTATGGCTTGCTAGTACCTTCGAATTTCTTACGTGCATACTCTTAAAAAACAATAATAATAATAATTATTAGTTTATTATTATAAAAATAAATAAAAATAAAAAATCGTACTTGAAATGAATGACTTGAGCTGCATTCTCATCTTGCCTCGTTGAAGAGGGGTTGGCCGGGGGTGGAGGGCAATTGGTATTCCTATTCCAATTCATACTCTTTTTTATTTCCATATCTTTTCTATTTTTTTTATTACATTTCTTTTCAGCATAAATATATTATTTCCGCTTAAATTTGATGCATGGTGGCCTTTTACCTCTACTCGTTTTTGCGTTAAAAAAAAGCTGTGTCGGGTTTTCAAATTTTAACTGCAGCACTCGTCAGAGCTTACCTGGACACTTTGACGTCCAGATGCAGATCATGCACCTAGCTTGTTTTCCGACTTGGCCATCAACAGCCCATTGTATTGGCAAGTTACTCAAAGAGTTGATGCGTTTAAATTGTTCCAGTGATTGTCTTTGTTGATTGGTTGACCGCGTTGATCGATTCATTGATTGATTGGCTCAGGATTGCTTGTGTTTTGATTGATTGGTGATGGTCTTGACTGATTAATGGATTGCCTTAGATTGATTGTGTTGATTGATCGGTTGAACCCTTCACTGGTCGATTGATTGGGTTGAGACTGTGTTCATTGATTGGTTGATTCGTTGATTGTGTTGATTGATTGCTTGCTTGCTTGATTGATTGATTGTGTTGATTGGTTGCTTGATTGTGTTGATTGATTGATTGATTGATTGATTGATTGTGTTGATTGATTGGTTGATTGTGTTAGACTCTGCTTATTGAATGGTTTAATGTTGGTTGATTGATTGGCTGAATCGTTGTTTGTGCTGATTGATTCGCTTCCTTGCTTGATTGGCTGATTTGTAATGAACCCAGTCAAATGAGAATCTGGTCAATGTCGGAATACCGTACTCGTTTGTGCATGGGACAGTGGGATGCCACGTGGCCAATGAGATTGATTTAACAGTGGGATGTCTTAGCGCAGAATGAACGTCTCCGAAACCGTTTGGGAAATCCATACTCATTGGCCCCGTGGCATCCCACTGTCCCATGCACAGAGAAGAAAAAGAGGAGAGGGAGAGAGAGAGAGAGAGAGAGAGTTTCCACCAGCATCATTGAGCAGATAACCATCGCACCAGCATGAAGCGAGGTTCAAGCCAGCGTCGAGCAGCATGCACAAGACTCAATGTCGTCCATCAGGGGCTGGGTCAACGCAGGTCAACTTAAAGCGTTGACCAGCCTCTGGTCTCTCGCATACGACAGGCCATGGCATGCGAGAGACCAGAGGCTGGTCAACGCAGGTCAACGCTATAAGTTGACCTGCGTTGACCAGCCTCTGCTGATCGTCCGTCAGCCAATGGCCGAGATCTCCGTACAGTTGCAGAAACCGATGCGCCCCACTTGGGCTTGATCTGGTCCAGATACCTGCAAACAGCCAGAGGTGTGTATCTGATCTGTGGCCGAGGCTGGGATCGGGTTGACTTCCACTCGTGGGCCTGTATCTTGAGCTGAGGTTGACCGTTGACTTTCCCAAGGTCAACTGCCTCGCATTGGGCCTCTGAAAAGGCCTGTTGTGGCCTGGCCTTGGCTACCCCTCAGCGGTAGGGGCCTTCGGTCAAACATTCTCACGACTTGGGGGGGCGTGACGTTTGACCCCCCACCCCCCGGCCCCCCATTTGGGGCCTTGGACCAACAGTGATGACCCACAGCCCTACTTGGGGGGGTGATAATGCATATTTGAGCTGAGCTGAGCTGAGCTGAGCTGAATGATTGAAGATTCGTTGATGGTGTTGAATGATTGCCTGCCTCATTGTTTTTTTTTTTTTTTTTTTTTTTTTTTTTTTTTTTTTTTTTTGGTTTCTTCCTTGCGCAGGGGCCATGCTAATCTTCTCTGTATCGTTCCAATTTTAACGGATGTCCCGAAGGACAATTGCCTGCCTCATTGTATGATATGGTGGGTGAGAGTATTTTCAGATAGTACTCCTATTACGAGATATACACATCTAGATGTGTATAAGAGACAGGTGTTAGTTTGTGTGGTGCATATTTGAGCAGAATGATTGAAGATTCGTTGATGGTGTTGAATGATTGCCTGCCTCATTGTTTTTTTTTTTTTTTTTTTTTTTTTTTTTCCTCGATTTATGCGTGTCATCCTTGCGCAGGGGCCATGCTAATCTTCTCTGTATCGTTCCAATTTTAACGGATGTCCCGAAGGACAATTGCCTGCCTCATTGTATGATATGGTGGGTGAGAGTATTTTCAGATAGTACTCCTATTACGAGAAAACCTACAGAAGTAAGGATGGGAAAAGGAAAAGGAAACCCTACAGGTTGGATTGCTCGTGTTTCCCAAGGTTTCCCAAGGACAAATTATGTTTGGAAATGGATGGTGTTAGTTTGTGTGGTGCATATTTGAGCAGAGTGATTGCAGATTCGTTGATGGCGTTGAAAGGTTGCTTGCTTGATAATCATTGTATTAACTCAGTGTGATCATTGAATGATTGATTGGTTCATTGTGTGTTGAATCGATTGATTGTTCTGATTGATTGTTCTGATTGATTGTTCTGATTGATTTGTTTTGATTGATTGTTTTGATTCCTTTCGCACACAAACGAACATCAACTTCAACAGGATAAGCCAGCCTTGTTCCGATCCTTCCTGAAGTGGCTCAAGCCTGGAGGCAAGGTGTTGATCTCCGATTACTGCAAGGGCAAGCATGCATCGTCGGAGGATTTCCAAGCCTATGTTAAGCAGAGGGGATATGACCTGCATGACGTCGAGACCTACGGAAAGGTAAGCACACAAATAAACAAATAAACAAATAAACAAATAAACAAACAAACAATTTGAAACAAATAAACAAACAAACAACATAAAAGCCAAACAAACAAACAAAAAAGCCAAACAAACAAGCAAATAAACAAACAGTTCAGTACCAATGTAGGGCATTTTTTTAACTGAATGCGCTACTTATATAGACAATGTATGTTCGTTGAAATTTCCTCCTTTTTGCAGGACTTTTTTTTTTTTTTTTTTTTTTTTTTTTTTTTATTTTGTCGGGGGGGGGGATCTTGGGTATGGAATGAATGAATGAACGAATCAATCAATCAATCAACCAACCAATCATTCGATCCAGCAATGAAGATCAAGATTTTTTTTTTTTTTTTGGACGGGGAGTGGGTGGGGGGAGGGCGAGGGAGGTGGGGGGGGAAGGGGAGGGATCCGTAGGGAATCGGGCATATACATACTGCGGCAGATGGTGCTTGGGTCTCTGAAGCTTTCTGGTTGCTTGTTCCTCTTTGCTTTCTGCTCCACCGGATTTTTTCGTTCTTGTTTTCTGTCATAGAATGTGGCTGTCATAGGGGTCAGATACATCCCGGGAAGTGCAGCTTGTCTTATCGCCTCCATGCATCGTAGCCAGTCATTTTGTCTTATCGCCTCCATGCATCGTAGCCAGTCATTAGTTTAGAGGAAGGACTCGTTTACTTTCTTCTGGACGTAGTTGCAGTAAAAGATACATCCACGTCTGGCCGTAATTGGGGTCAGGTACATCTAAGAAAGTGCCAGAGTGAATATGGCCTTAATTGGGGTCAGATACATCCACATGTGGCCGTAATTGAGGTCAGATACATCCACTGAAACAGGAATGTCACTGACGAGTCGTGCACCTTCTGCAGCTCCTTATCAGTGTTAAATATCAAACAGTGTGGCGAACAAGTTGTGCAGTTACTTTTCAATACCGTATGTAGATTGATGTCGTCACTGGA